ACTTTTTTTACATAAACTCCTAACTGAACCATCACAATGATCATTATTTTAAATTATAAATATGGCGAGTAATTGTAAGACTATCAAGTGCACAAGACGTTTTATTTTATAACCGTCGTTGAACAGCCGACCCAGACCCAATTTTGAGTTTACGATTATCAATGCTCATTTCCACACCTATGCAATTTTGAACCCAATCCAGAAGACAAGGGAACCCCTGGATCAAGTATTGGGAGAAATTAGGCTCTTGTAGAGGACTTTCTGTTGGAATTAAATCGCATTTGCGTTGCATGAAAAGGAAAATCACGAAAACATCCCACGGTTAGCCAGACAGCAATAGGAGCCACTGAGGATATTTTACGTTAACACTGTGATTGGTGCGAGCAGCACGAGGTATTCTTATCAACTAGCCATCTATGGGATTCGAACCCGTGTCACTTCATTGGGAGGTGAGAGCTCTATTCTCTAAGCTACCACGTAAACAAGATGTTTGCACATTTCGCTAAACGCTCCCCCCCCCCAAAAAAAAATGATGGAAAAAAATCATTCACTGAGAGGAATTAAAGAAAAGGCAAATTCTGCTCGTTTATTTGCCGGCTTTATTTTTTCATAATTAGGAGCCCAAGGAGTACCAAATCTAAAATCATACATAAAAGTTTGTATCTTGGGAATTTTACGAATGAAAATACGAACGCATAAATGCAGCATATAAGATTTATCCCCGGTATATTGAAATTATATTTTATTTTTATCACCTAGAGATTACAAGTTAGCTGTTTTTCAGCACCTTTTTGTTGCTACCGATAAAGAACATTCAACCCCGAATCATGCAAAAGAAAGAACAAATACAAAATTAAGAGAGAGAGAAATAAAAACACTCTTGAAGCTGTGAATGAGATTTGAGTCATGCGGAAAAGTTGACGGAGTTTATTTTCGACACTCCGCGCCAACAAGGCGACAACACACATGTGGAAGTGCAAGATCTCTAATTCTTTCTTGAAAATAATGGTTCAACTCAGCCTCGAAAAATAATTAAGCGGAAGAAAAAATATATAATAACATCATAGAAAAATAATTCAATCGAATTCATTTAGATAAGTAGTATATTATACGATTTAATCCCATTCTAAATTATAGTTTTGTGTGAAACATTAAAAAAACCCAACTTAAACTGATTTTATAGTGACTGCGTCATATAAGTTATTATAACTATAAATATTGCAGAATGCAATAACATGAAATTTAATATAACATTTTAATACTATAAGACGAAATTAATGGTTGCCATCAGCCTCAGGACGATTAAATATAACAAGTACCGTAAACCGGGGCAAGTCTACCCATCCAGGGGCGAGTCTACCCATTTTAGTTTTATTTAATTTTCACTATTTTAAATTGCAAATAAAATTTTTTTAACCGGCCGAGGACTTAGTTCAGACTCTAAGGAAGATGGCGCTGTAGTAGTTTGATCCGTTTTTATTTATTTGGTGTCTTTTTAACCGACGTGTGTTCAAAATTAGGCAGTGG